TGTGATAATCAAATACTCATTTTTTGTGCAACAAGGGCTTGCACGAAAGTTCTAAACCAGCTTTGTAATCTAATCTCATTCACCTACACAACAAGATCCCCGGTTTTTCGAGCAATTCATTTTCGTGCAAACAAACGGCATGCAACCCTGGCCTTCTAGAACAAGAGTTATTTGATGCACTGTTCTAAACAACATCAGACTGAGAGCTAACGTCAGTCTTCGTCCATATGATTAGTCCTTACGGATTATGTGAATATCGAACTACTTGTAGCGGAAAGCCACTTAGCCTCTGCATTGGTGTTCTGTTATTTTCACGTTTGAAACCAATTTAAGTAAGGCAGAAGATAGACTTCGCCTTGTATGACCATAACGTTGCTCTTCAAGTTAGATTTTCCTCGGGACTTCTCAGGTATCTATTTGTGAGAAGCAGAAAAAATTTGTAAACCGCAATCCAGGTTACTTGTATTTACTTGAGGAGCTTACAGTGATTTGGCTGCGCAAGAGGTTGCTTAGGTTCAAATGCTGAAGTTTATGATTGGGTTTCATGGCCTTAGCATTCACAAGCCGCTGGCTGCAAGTTTATGGGAAACAGTCATTTAAATATTGAAAACCTCGCTTCACTAACAGATACAGCTCCATAGGAGCTTAGGGGGCACGCAGCAATCGAGGTGACTCATAAATTATCTCATATCCACGACTTTTGTTGGTGCGTGGGATGCTATCAAGTCTAGCAGTTCTGAGGCACCTCTCTACCACACTTCAGCTTTGAACAGTTAGGCTTGAAAAAAGTCGGCAAAACCATACACAATAAAGCTGGATTGTGTGTGTATAATCGGGAATAACATCACAAGCTATGGCGATGCGAAACGCCATTATGGCCGAAACGATTTAAGTTTAGAACTGACCACTCTGTACCAAGAATCCTTTATTGCTAACTGTTGGAATGTATTGTGAGTGTGCCGAAAACTCTCCGTCCGTTTTTATTATTGGATTAGAGGCTGACCAGTGCAGTGTGGCAATAGTATAGCGTAATGTTTGCAAGTTTCCGAAGTGGATGCACGTACGCACCCGTCATTCCCTTCGGCTCTTTGGTTGCTTCCAACTTTACTGTTTATTGAAACATCTCCATAGACGTACAAAAATGCTTATGTGATATGGAGCCGTATATTCCAACAAAGGGGCTGAGATCATCTGTAAGCAGGAGCGTAACTCTTCCCCTCGAGAATCGCCTCCAGACAATGAGCAGCCAATTCAATTTGCATTTAAATCTTGCCTAAATAGGGATTGCAATTAGCAATGTTGTGGAATGTGGGTAGGTCGGGTGCATTGTTTGGTTGTTGGTCTGTTCGCAGAGCTTGGCAGTTGGAGTGCAAACGTTTCATCACCAATCGAGGTGACATCGTCAGTGCAGGGTTGAGTGGGATTGCAATTGTCTTACTATAGGCACTCACAATATGTTCGAATAAGCCATTTCCTTAGTATTGATTGATTTTATGAATATTCAAGAGTAAGTGTTAAGCAGAGGTAGGTGTGGGGAAGCGGTAACCTAAATTTCGCGTTCAGTACATTGAACACATCCGTTCGCCAAGGTGAACTTTCAACATTTTGAGACTTTTGAGACAACGCATTCGTGCACTTCAACATCCGAGCCCCCTAGTTTGGATTGTGGTTGACTCGCCGGATTTTTCTTCTTTCGGATGTTTTACTAATCGTATTGGCAACAGTTTTTCGAACCGTGTTGCAAAACTCCATCAGACTTTCCGACCCTTTCTCGCTCAAATACATGTCCTTCACAGACCATTTCGATGAGCCGGGAAAGGGGAATATCATTGTCTTTTATGCTTAAAACGGTCAGTAGCTCTACTTTAGTTCAGTTATTTCATGGGTAGTTTGTTGAAATTAGCACAAGTATTCAACAGTTGTTCACATCTTAAACCAGTTTGTTGTGATATTGCTGACACCGTTCGTCACCTTCCTTCAAAATTTTCTTCCGAGAGGATACAACAAAAAACCAGCGATTTTTACAAGTCTCAGGTAAACACTGGTACTGTTGATGTGTACTCAAGGGGTACTGGACTTTCAGTTTGTTGCTATTGCTTCGCGTTACCCTGTAGAATATGGGAGACAAGATCAACGTTAACTCGAGGTGTGATAAGAATGCCCCGAATTCACTCCGTTTCTCACTGTTTCACCTAAGTTTGCGTCGGCGCATGTGGGGTAGAATAATAAACCATAACGAACAGAGTAACTGAAGTGTACGGATATGGATTGGACTCTTTTGTCAAAGACTCAGAAAGTGTCGGCCAATTGGTTTGCGCAGCCGTGTTTGGCAGCTTCTCCATACATATAGGTGGGCGAGTAGAAAGTATCCATTGCCCGGTTACCGTGAGTTCTCAGCGCTCCAAGAGTGCCTTTCTTGGGAATATTGCTCATTTGTGGATCCATCATGAGAGAAGAGCACTGCACGGAGGTTTACAACGGTTTTCAAATTTGACGCATCCGCCTTGTGGATGGTTGCATCCCTGTGCAATTTTACTCGGTTTCAGACACATTTACATCTTTTAATTTCCTTTATCTCTTCTCTTCAAGCAGTATCCTAGTAATTTGACGAGAAGTCTCCTAACTGCTGCTTTTGTCTAGTAGCAGTCGTTCTCAAGACTTGACACGCCTCTTTGTCTTATTCAGATGCCGGCAGTTGGGGACCACATACCACTCACTACGCTGTTGATCAGCCTTTCTCAACAACAATCTAAGCTAACTAAACCGTTTCAGATCGACTGTCATTTGTATAGCTGAAAGAACTGGACCAAACAAAGCAGGGCTCAATATGTGACATTGCAATATTTAAAATAACGGCAGTGTCTTCACATCAAATACAAACCTACGTAGGTGGTCACTTCCCTGACAATTTGACCATCCGTCATCCATCACTGGTCATCCCGTCCACAACGAGTCACGACGTACTGTCCTGTTTAACCGGGCATTTCTATTAACTAGCTTGCAGGCAACAGCTCAAAAACACGCCACTGTAGCATGAAATGTACTGCTTATGACACATAGTGGGATGTAGAGAACGTCCTCACTGAGGAGATACTTAACCATAACGGATGTCCTTAATAGAAATGCACGTACTAGATAACTTCGAAAAAAGCCAAGGTTGTGTTGATTATCACCATTCAAAGGGCCCATCACTATTGGAGGTTACATACTATATAATGGAAGTTTATACGTCATGGTTAGAACCATTTGCTTCTATATAGAACATGAACTGTTTTTTTCAAAAGATGGACGATCCCATTAATGTAAATGAACATTTTTACCGGATGGTTTGGACTGTTGGTAAAAAAACATTGTAACCTTAGGAGCACCAACATCCCAATCGATAGCTGTTATGAAATTCCGCTCTGCCAGGCGCTATCCTGAGCTTCTTCAGCCTTGAACCATCTATTATTCTTGACGTGATCACCGCATACTGGATAAAAGTTGTCGAGCAGAGTTAGGACTGTGAAAGCCGAATCGGATCATCACAAACAAGAGATTCAGCTGGATTCAGTTGAGTTTCTTGTCTGAATCAGATTCGTGTGCAAATGAGAGTGTTTGTCGCATTTTGTCCGATCTGGGTTCAAGTAGAACATAAGGTTGGGGAAAATTCAGGGACTGCGCCTAACTGGTAAGCTCCAAGACGGATGATACCGGTCCTGGGCGGTCGAAGAGCTTTCAGTGACATGATGAGTAGTGTGAAACTTATACTTGAAGACAAATCTATCCGCAAAATTAGCTGTCAACCATCTATATCTTCGGGGACAGTTGTTATTCGAACACCCCACTGCATAACCAGGTGGATCATGTGACTGTGGTGTGCATCACCTAATGAAGTGTCTAGTGGAGGTCAATCCGTTTGGTTTTGTTAGGGTATAATTAAGCTGGTTCTTTCTGCACCACATTGAATTAAGTAAGGGACGTCACGTGCAATTTGATCTTCAGCTTTTTGAGTTCTTTTCGACTAGTAAACTGGATTCGTTGGCAAATGGCTCCCAATTATTATGAACTTTTTAGCTTATCTTTTTGTTATTCGTTACTCGTAGGACGAAGAGGGCATCAAGAACTATGATCGACTAAATAAGACGGTGAACAATGAACGACTGTTCTTTGAAGCCATTTCCTCAGCAGTAGTACGTTAAACAGAGATCCTGGGAGCGTGAGAGAAGTGGGAGCTTTCAGTCAACGTTCGAATGAAGCTTGGATTACTCACTTTCTCGACGGCTGTATGGCTGGCTTTGTGTGCTTCGAACATGTGACGCTCACCCGGCCCGCTACCGGAGTTTCAACTAAGAATGGCCTCACCAAATTTCGCTTGAGTAAGGGCATGTAATCTTCGTCAAATGCTGTCGGAGTCATATTTAGGTCAATTTGAAATGTCATCCAACTCCTACTGGGCTTACTTCTAGGGCAACGTACAGCAATGTGGGCTAGATGGCCCAAGTGGTTGGAGTGCAAATTTGCTGACTCGAAGATCTGTGGTTCGAACCAGACCTCTGCCTCTTGACTTCCCCTGTCTGGACTTGGACAACGTGGCAGTATTCAAGCCCTCCGTTAGCATGGCAGTTACGGACCGTAAGGGTGCCATAGCTGAACGAACCTACAGTAATTACACCATAAAGTGATTTTTCCACACACGGGACAAGATTGAGTTTCGTATTCAAATCTAGCAGCCACTGATTAAGCGGAAATTCAATAACCAACACTACTTACCCCTTCCGTTTCTGAGGATGCGTCAGCCGCATTGTGTTTTAGACCATTCTTGGCGTTGAGCAATTACTCAAGACAAGGCTTACAGTTTTGGCCAAACAGGATCCTACTCACAAGTCCGAAATTTTACCATCGGACCCATAGCTTTTTTCCTATATATTGAGAAAACGGTCTGATTGACAGGGATAGCTAGTTTGTCATCGCCCTCTCTGTGATTCTCACTTTCAAAACGACCTCCATTTTACTCCCAGGCCCATTTTGACCAGTTCAAGTCAAACATACCCATGACTACGCTACAGGCTAATGTCGAAGGTGTGACGAACGTTTTGCGTGACAATCTCGAGCAGATCATGAAACGCGGTCAGCTGGCTGGTGAACTAGCAGAAAAAACGGAGGAACTTGAGGGCAGTGTGAGTCATGAAGCATTTTTCCGTTGATATTACTATCTATCGGGTGAAGCAATGCTATTCATCAGCAGCATTTAATAAGATACACGAATGACTGATCGTACGTTTTCTGCATATCTAAAGTCGATTTGTCCTCGTTTACGACCATAGGATGTTAATGATTACGGGCCTGTGCCTTTCCTCTGTGGAACCGTTCCGACTGTTGGATATGATTGTGTTACCTAGTGGTCTACGAAGTTCTTCCATGGTGAAATGTTAGTTGCCCAATAACGTCTTTCGTGCCAAGAGACCGTCACAGCTTCCCAGACCAAACACCAGTTGTACTGTCCTACTCATTATTCAATGGTTCATGTGTTGGCTGTTCCCACAGATTAAACCATAATTACACCAATGCCATACTAAAGGTCTACCCGTGAATGATTATGTCCCTGTAAGTGGTCAATGGACTTTAGAATCCAGAAGATCAATCTAGAACGATAATTCATCATGTTGCATATGATTCGTATTGAACCACTAGGATCGATAGTGAACATCGCCGTCCATACCGGCTATAAGTTGCTTGTTTTTAATTAGTGGATACTTTTGTAGAGCTATCATCTCAATGTGAATAGCTATGAATAGCTCCTTACTCGCCCAGTGAGCACGCACTCTTGAGTAGTAGTTTTTTTTGGAGGTCGAAATTTTCTACCCAAAAGTGGAAAGCTTTTATGCGCAAGCAGGATTAACATTAAATGGTATGCAGGGAGGTACATCTAGGGACTATTTGACTAATTCACCAGAAAATAAACCAATTGCCACCGAGGTTCGGAAATAGCGGTTTAGAAATGAATATTTTTTTTGTTGATTATGTATTCAAGCAATCAAGCAGCTGCGAGAAATCAGAGCGCCTACCTGGTTGCTTGGATGTCCACAGCGGATTACTGCGCTCTTCATTTCTGCGGATTAGCCTTGGTCCTCCATCGTTTTATTTAACTCAGACCGTCGTCCGATGCCCAGATTGACCAGAAACACCTCGAAACCTACTGAAACGTTATAATTTACACCGATTTTCATCCGTTTTCGTCGTTTTCTCCACCACATTGCTTGTTTTTCACCGCTTTGAACAAAACCCCGGCCTACGAATCAGTCGAATGTACAATGCATGGGATAGGGTCTCAAAGTCATTTCAGCAAATTTGCACACTCAATACAGTTAGCCTCAATACCGTTAGCCTTTTTCCAAACTCTTGTCTTAAAGCACCGACTATAGGCTTTTGAGAGCACTGAGAGATGGATTGATTTTGACTGGACAATGGTCACGTCAAATTTGTCGTTGCATTGAATGGAGATTAGTTGCTGATAAGCAAAGCAAATAAGTAAAGTCCAGCTGCTTGAATGCGACACCGGGTTAGGAGATTTCCAGCGAGAAAAAACCCGCTTCAGTAGCTTTGATCGACAGCAGTGATTGCGAGTGAAACCCGTGTGCCTGAAGCCGGAACCACATTTCCTCAAGTCCCACATTTTTTAAAGTCTTTTTGGATCGTTGGATAGTCTGCAGACGCTTTTTTCCACATGTATTTTATTTCTCTCTTTTCTCAGGCTCAAATGTTCAAGCAAATCAGCAAGAAGGTCGAAAGCCATGAGCGATCCAAACATCGAAGACTGAAGTTCATTATGATTGGTGTTGGACTCGCTATCCTGCTTGTCATAATTCTCATCATTTTATGGCAAACCGGCGTATTCAAAAGCCATTAGTCCATTCTAAACCTCACTATTCACTCCGTTGCCTCGGCGATTGTCAATTGGCATCTATTGTGCAAGGTGTGGATAACACATTCCAAATTACTTCACCACAGGCTGGACACTGAGATACTAGGAGCCTGTTTGCTCATCAACCGGTTTCATCTACACTATTTTACTCTTGTATGTTCTCAGTCGCCCAGAATCAGTCGTGTTTCATCAGGTTAGTGTCCCGACCATGGTCCTAACCTTCCCCGGACTCTTTCATTTCCGAATTGTCTTGTCTGAGCTAAGACAACAACATAGAGTTTACTTGATATTTTCATCAGATGCTTTGTTCCTCTGCACCAGTTTGAAAGTTGACTTGTTTGGATCGCAGACGCAAAATTGCCCCACCCCTTCCCATTCAGTCTAACGTGAAAGTTGATTGGAACCGCAGACGAAAATTGCCCCACCCCTTCCCATTCAGTCTAACGAAACTACAACGTGCCGTTTTGTATCTTGCTATGTTATCCGTATGCTTGTCGAGTTAACCTTGTCCATATAAGTTCTCGGCAATTTTATATTCGAAGCGTTTTGTCATTTGTTTTCCATCAATGTTCTGTGTTTCCTTCAGCGCACAATACCGCATGCTTTCCGAACAATATTAGCTATTGAAGAAGAATGTGTGTGCTATCCTCCGTTAGAATCAATATCGAAGCAATTTCAACTGTTGAACAAACCATCATATAAACTTTGCTTTCACGTGGATGCCATTTCGTCGCATACTTTCCTGTCATATCCGTCACAGATAGCCTGCCTCACTGTATGTCAATTCAATTTAGGTACATCTTGCCACGTTCGTGGCGTCAGTTTACGAAGCATACACACGAATGGGCATATAGGTCAGTGACACGTCCACGTGCCACTTTTGGACTGGGCGGCCTTAGTGGCAAAGTGATTGATGGGTACGGATAAGCGAAACAGATGGAGATCAAAAGTACACGGACAGAGAATGCGAATGAAGGGAGGAATCATGATGGTATTGGGTTTTGGTCTACACGTAGGAACGCATTAGCGCTGGGAAGAGAAGCCGTTCAAGGATGGTTTCCTCGACTTTCGGCCAATAGTTCAGGGGATCTTTCAAGGAACATTTGTAATTTGAACTTGGGATTTCGTTCAGTAAGTGGAGCCATTCCATAGTGAAAGGCTGAAAAACACTGCACAGTCGTTGCATACTTGTTGGGAACCATCAGCAGCCTCACGTAACAAGATGAACCAGCTCCATGAACTGGATCTCAGGTCTTACCGAAGACTTACTGGTGTATGAATTTTGACTCGACCCTTCTACTAGATCAAATGCAGACACTTTCTAAGACCGAACCAAAATCAAATTTAACTGAACTCAGTGTTCACCGAATCCAAAAAACAAGTAAATTGAGCCCAGACGGTTTGTTTTTGCTTACTTTGGCTTACGGTACTCTCTCGATGCTATCAACTTGAAATATCAAATGAATTGGTATCAGTGAGTCTGTCCTATTATGGAAGAGTGAATGGTCGCGTACCTAACAGTACCATGCACAGCCTTACGTTCGTACTGGAGGAAGACTCGTTTGAGCTTCACTCATTACGTACACAGGGAAGACATAATACGCTAAACTCGTAGAGGAAACACAAGTTCTATGGTTTCAGTTGCACACAGCTGTTTTTCTGAAGTTCCACTTGGGAACTTCCATCAAAATTTGGGGTGTGCTTAATTGTACAACATTCGAGGACAGGTTAAAGCTGTTATTGTTGTTCTACTTCAGTGGTGTGCATCTGATGAAACAGTTTTCTCAAGTCCCTGGGTTTGTCAACATTCTGCATGTTTTTCATGATCTTTGCCTAGCCGTAGCTGTGGTTCGTCTGACCTGGGCGGTGTGCGCTATGCTTCAGGAGGCGGTAGACAGTTGCCTTCCTACAGCGACTTGCTCTGAGATCTTAAGAGGGTAGATGATGTCTTCCGGTGTTTAATTTCTCTTGCAACATAGAGTGATGTTGCTAAGAGTAGCTGGTGTCTCCATCGCTGATTGGTCTTGAATATCTTCGTTTCATGTGAAACTTCGGTGGTAGGGATGATATTTACCAGAAATACATAGTTTATGCAAAGTAACGCTCAAGTGTTTTGGACAGTACACGGTCTGTTAGGCGACATCCAAATCATGCGCCTGAAACCAACAGTAATTTTCCATTTTTTATCTACTTCTGCCCATGGGAACTTATACAGTCTTCCACTGACGAAGCTCCTTTCAAGTAAACCAACCACAGACCAGTCCAAAAAGTCCTCGAGCGTGAAGCGATTTTCAGCGTTTGAAGTGGACATTGAGGAAGTATACCACCTCGAGCAAGTCCCGGTGCTTTGTGCCGTAAGCTGGGCTCTACGGGCGCTCCAGCAACTCGCATTCACGGATACTTAATATTTCAGCATTTACCATGTGACGGTTAGTCTAATTCTCAATTCATTTGTAAGATCGCTGTTTCACTGCATAGACTGGATAAAATAAGTAAAAAGCTCCTCCCTAGAGTAGCAAGGTAACAAAAACTTTGATAAACGTTGAAAGTGAAGATGGTTTGCACACACCGGACACTTTAGAAATCCTTTTAGACGATCAGATGGCTGCTACTCTGACCGTCGAGATTGGTGCTTGGCTTGTGATTCACTGTTACGACCCCCAAAAAATTTGCAAGCTGGCCCATGTGATTTCTGTGTGGTGGCCGTGCATAACCCATTTGACTTTGAAAATGGTCTTTACGTTCACATAAAAAGAGTTCCAGACTGCCCGCCGTGCCAAAGGGATTGAAAACAATGCTCCATTCCTTGAAGCAAAATTTCACCAAGGAAAGCATTTGGGATCGATAGTTTTGCGGTTTAGTAGGAATGAAGCATCTGAAAAGTGGCACACCTTAGAAAGTGATCGCTCATGTTGGGTCTCTTTAAGTCGGCCACATTTGAATGACCCTTGGGGTAGGGCAGTTCAATTCAACTCTAAAAATCCTACGGTTTGTCTGAAAATGCTGAAACCGAATGATCAATAGTGGTATAAAGTGCTATCAACGATCGGTACACCACACTGTCCCTGGAATGCACTTTTAACCTTACAACGCTCCCGGGCTTACTTGATTCAATTCATCTGTGAAACACTTCACATGAAATGTATTATGGATGCCGCTTTGCTACATTCAACTTTGCACTATACGGATTCAGAGTGTTATGAAATGAGCTTAAATGGAAAAGTACACTTAACTGGAGCGAAAAGAAATCACACAACGATTCGCGCACAAAGCATCGATTTGGGGGTGATGGACCCGCTATTGTGTCCCGTAAGTGCAAGAATTTATTAGCACAGTATTCTTGTGCAGCGGTGGTATTCTATAAGCCGTAGAAAATGCAAACTGAGGTACACATCCTCGCTGGACCGTCCAACGCATACTATTATATCATATATATGATATATATATACATATCATATATATCATATATATCATTATCAATTAAATGATGACTCAGTTTACGCGACAACTAAGTCATTTTGTACGGGCAAAAAACATTTGTTGGATACATTTCCACAGAATTAGGGAAAACCCTTGAAATATTTCATTTTATGAATATATTGTCTGAAACGCATGGATGTTATTGTTTTGTCTGTTGACTACTTCTGAAAAACTGACCCGCTTTTCTGGCGCACCAACTTCAAGTAGTTTCAGAGGGAAGCATAGGTTCTCAATCAGACTATCGGATTCATGGAGAAGGCCCATGTTCCCCGCGATGCTGCTTCGGTTGTGCGATACCCCTCCGTGTAAGATGATGTTCATTAGGGGGCAACAATATGGGCTAGTTGACATAAAATAAATCAGCTGAACATACTAGTTTGTTTCGATGTGTACCAGTTTGATAGGCTGGTCACTGTACTCCGTCAACACCATTCAGTTCACATCCTTCGAAAAGAACTAAGGCACTGAGGAAACCGGAATGATTGGACATTATTGAAAATTACACCTTATCTGTTTATGTTTTTCAGATACATACATACTTACATACAAAGGCCCTTCGGAATCTTTTGTTGTGACACATGACCTATTTGTCTTTCTCTTACTCGAGTAAAGTGTGCTTGATCAGTGGTCGTTAGCACATACTCACCATTTCAGTCGCTTTTCTGTACAACCACCACAGTTTACAAACGTTGATTTTGTCACCTGTCCTGCAGAGAGACTTGTTAAATATGAGTGTTGTTAATACCGATGACAGTTTGTGTACAAACTCTTGTTTTGTTCACATCCTTTAAATGCCATGTCTGGTTGCTTTCATGGGTTCCATTTCCCATGGAAGCACTAGTGGCCAACGAAATGAGAATCGTTTCATTTTATTTCGATTGTGTGCTTCTGGAATCACAAAGTAATTCCCATTAGATTTCGATATCATACTCTGGTGGCTATTGTTTAATTGGATCTCTAACGCTTAATCTCAGTATGTTTGCTGAACAATCGACATTCGTTGCAAATTCCCGTTCTGCAAACCAGCTGAATGAACGAGTATTTTGTGGGTAGCCCGTTTGTATTAACGTTGGCACTGAAACATTCAACTTGTTTAAAAATTTGTGTAATGTTTGTTCCGGCTGAGGTGCCCGACTAAGCGCGATGATTTTTTCATTAGGACAGCAAACGCTTGTTGACTCCAAGGGTAAAGGTATTCCTTGAAATTTAACTATTTTTAGAGACGATGTTCGCGCAAGGTTTTCTGTCAATGTGTGGACAGTCCATAGTTCTTTCAGCTTACAACACTGCTCGGTTCCAGATGAATTTTGAAGGATGAGAGTGACATCTAAAATGTGGTCAAAACAACAATTAACTCACAGCTAATGTTGCTGAGTCCAATTCAGGTTACCGAGTAAATCAAGCCATTTCCAGCCACAGGTTATAATAAATTACTGAGGTATTCGGTATAAACTTCATGAGCTTCAGCCAAAGAACATTCCAAAAGCTTTTTGCGCAGTTATTCTAAGATCTTGCACCATGGTGTTGGAAACATAACTGCCGAATAGCACTGATGTGGTGGACTCAATCAGCTACCATACATATCCAACTATAAAACGGATACACTTTCTATTCAGCTAATTTCACCTCGAAATATGCTGCATACTGCGACCAACCAGTTGTGTTCAAACAGTAATGGCCTTGGTACCCGCCGCAAGAAGCAAGCAATCTCTCAACCATTACATCCAAATTAGACTGTCGTGACTTATGTGGTCTATTGACAAGCGTCCTTTTAGAGTCTTGTTATCAGTTTACTGGCAGTCATTTGTCATCCCCGACTTTAACTTCCATGACTAGCCAGTGACCTCTAGGGTTTTCTTTCTCCAGTCAGCTAAATCAACTGTTCACATTGTTAAGATTCCACTGCCATATTGTTTGACGACATTCATCCAGAATGATCCAGTCTCTTGAGCTGTATTCTACTATTTTTAAGAATTTCATGGAAGAATGATCTTCCGGCATGAAAATTTCCCAGTCCTGACCAGAACATTTACCTAAGAGTATTTATCGCACTCATGTTACGATATTATGCGATTATGCAGCACGATGTAGGTGTTCAGTGCTCTTATTACCGAGAAATAAGCCGTGAAGGCTAGCCGTTTTTAAGTTATTATACTAGACAGGTATTAGAATGACTCCTTTTCCAAATAGCATTAACTGGTGGTACAAAACTAATGACTATGTGGGCTTAGTTGCGACACAGTAGACATCCAGAAATTAGACCTCACCG